ACATTACGACACTCTCAATCATCGGCAAAATTTAGATTTTCTGCCACTTGCTTTTTGTCAAGATTTTTGAAAATAGAAAAAAAGACAGAGCGAAGCCTCACTTTGTGAGATTCGATTTAATTTAATTAAAAGGGTAATGAACTTTTTGAATCATGCACACGGTAATTATGTATTCCTTGCTCTCTCTTTCTGAATCACAAATGTAGAGGCAGCAATGCAGGTTTACTTGATTATTAGCTATAGAGCAGCAGGAGGTGTAGTCACATGGGGCGCAGTGGCCATTTTGTTTATATTCTTAGTTTCCACCAGGAGTCTTGCTTTAATTGTTTTGGGGTTAAATGTTTACTAAATACTACAAATACAAAATAAACAACTATTACTAATAAAAAAGAATAATAAATAACCCAAAATATTTGGTAGAGTCGCTCTGTTTAATGTGTAACCATGGCAATGGGTGCGTCATGCTACAAAAATGTGCGACGCAATGATGTCATTCCTCCTGTTCTATAGGTCTGAGCTGCAGCTAAATGGCCTTACCTTTGACAAGGGGTGTAACGATACACTCTGCTCACGATAGAATATTTTACAACCAACTATTGAAACTGTTCATATAACGAACCATCATTAGAAAAAAATGTAAAAGCTAAGAGGCTAGGGTCTAGTTTGATTTGTATGAGAGCATTTGATACAATCCATCCTCTAGGGGGCAGTGTTAATGTTTCCATTAAGTTTTTACTCCAAGTGACAGAGAGATCAAATTTTTTAATCATTCTCATTTTGAATAATTAAATAATTGTATCCTGGTAAATATCACATAAAACAAGAAAACAAGTTAAAGAAGTTTCAGAAGTGACTAGAATCACTATCACACCAAGAAGCAATACACTGCAGTTTCCCAGTAGCTCCACGATCCCTTCATTGAACCTTTGGCTGCAATGTGTAGATCAAGTAGATAAATGTAATTAAAAAATAAAAGGTTTGTATCAAATATGTTGCAAATAATATTTACTTGATTTATTTTCATGTTAACACAAGAGAAAAAGTCAAATGCCTCAATCTTCAAATGCAATACCGCGTCAGGCCACAAGGCCCCTATTGCCTCCCCAAGCTACTAAAATTTTTTATTTATTTATTTTTTTTACATGGACACTCAGCTAGGAACTGTGTGGCTTCGTCTAAGATAAATATTCTGATTTGAAATAACCTTTTCATTATCTGTAATATTTTTGTCCTATTTTTCCTCTTGTACTCTGCCTTCTCTTGCTCGTTAGCCCTCATCCTTTGCACCTGTCTCTGTCTCGTTACGACTCTCTACTTAATCTTGTCTTTCTTCTCTCTCTTATTGCAAAGGATACTTCAACCTTCTCATCTCTTTACTCTTTCCGAGATAAATACACAGGCTTTCTCCATTTGACTACTTCCTGTGTTTTCTGTTTATCTTCACTTGAAGTTAACATTTGCTCGTAATCATCTGCTTTGCTCCACTGCTCTTCCAGATGTGAGTCAGTAACCACAAATCTGAGCCATTGTCAGACTATGATTGTTAAATGACACCCACAACTGTTGATAAAAGCAAGCTGTATCTCAATCCAGGTCATAGAATCCTTTGAAAGACGCAGTCTAGCCAGTCTCTGGAGTCTACAGCTTGGGAGGAGCCTCCAAATGCTGCATCAACCATTGGTAAATGTGACGATTTCGCCTCATTCAGATCACAGTGTTTTAAAAACTTCTCTCTTAAGAGCTTCTTACATCTAAATGATGTAAAACAGCATCACATTTAGTTGACTGTGTGTGTTAGCGGTATTAATGTTGTTTTTAAAATAAAATACTACTATCACTACCAGCATTTAAAGAATCCCTTGAACTACTGTTCTTAATAAAAACCTGTTACTTGCATTTAAATAGAAATTTATTTGCTCCCTATTTTGTGTTGATTCAGTAAAAAAAAAAATGCAAGGCATCTTGGTATATCTGAGCCCATAAAGGAGGGTTGAGATGCATCCTCCAAATTTAGGGAGATGGTTTTGTATGATCCTTCGAGTTTTGGCGAAATGTTACAGCCTTCATGCAAGCAGCTGTGAAAAAGGCCCTTGGAAGGATTCAGGCTTTGAATTGAGACACCACTATAGAATCATCTCTCTTATAATGAGTCATCCTGTAAGTCTGCTAGGAGTTGTGCTGTTGCTGAGAGTAAAGATAAAGGAGATGGGATTAGCTGGAACTTAAGATCATTTTAACTTTTACATTTGACATTTTGAACGAAGTGTTTTTTTTTTTTTTGCAATCATTTTAGTATACCACAGACTTTTCATAAATACCGTAAAGAATCATATCAACTGGTGAAAAACGACACCTGATGTCCATTTTAATGTAATCGAACTGTTAAAAAGACACATTTTTTCTTGGTTCCCATCCCTCCTGGTTCTTGAGACCAGACATGGTCATAATTTTTGGCTGCATGCATGAGTCACGCTCACAGCTGTCTCTCTTTCATTCCTATATTTGTATTTCCATCCCAGAGCATCCTAACGTTGGCTCTTTCTCCATCTCCCTCTCCCCCCGCAGGCCGTTGCTGCTCGAATGCCCACTGAGCGGTCAAAACTGAATAAATCCAATTTATCTGCATAATGGCATTTACGTCTGGACTCACCCCAAGTCAATACACTCTCTGGGGAGCTCAACTGATGTAAGAAATGCAGAATTACAGAGACGATAGACACCTCCATTAAAAGCAGATTAATTCCATTCATTTAATTACAGTTTAAAAATGGGAAAACAGGAAATGACTGAGTATTCCTCGTGAACTCTGCCAAACACTGCAGTAATTACGTTTCAGGTTCCCCTAATATGTTTCCTTGGCTCACGTTGGTATTAAACTAATGTGTTTGTGTCGAATCGCATCGGTGCATTGCTCCAAAACTATTTTAATAACAACATCATCTTAACATTTTCTTTTTTTCTGGATTGTTTTTACTCTCACTTATTTTTGAACCAAGGGGATAGAATTATATATAATTTCTTATATATAATAAATCACTTCAGCACCTTCACATGCACACCCACACACACACACACACACACGCATGCACACAGACCCCTACTTAAGTTACCAAGACGTCCCTCTGGACTCCACTTGGGTAAAGTTTCTTGCTCAAATGTGCAATACAGTTATATTTCAATCATTGCCCTTTATGGTGTGACCTGCCCTTCATGGTGGGATCTGTTGATAACCATGTGGTGTATGTAAAACTATACATCTACATTCCAAGTAAGAAGAAAAGGATATCATTATGTACATTCAAAGTTTGCATGATGTGCAGATGACCTATCTGCTCCTAGTAGTCACAGTGGCTCGGAGGAGTAACTAGGGATGTAGGATTAATGAACTATTTATAGAGTTTATTTATACACTGGAGACAACCGTACAAAAGTATTTGCAACGGAATTCAACGTATTAGTCTGTCTCTGGAAGAGCAACGCAAGAACCAGTGGATGGACCCATAATGTCTCTAGATGGAAGATAAGTAGAAGGTGAGTGTGGTAAGAAGACGTGGAGTAATAGAGAAAACCCAGAAGAGAAGAGCACAAGAGAATCCGAGACGGCAGGATTGAATCATGGAGAGTCAGGGGAAGTGAACTGTAGGTCTGACAACTGAGGAGGTGTGTGGATGATTCCTTTAAAGCCGCGGCCACACTATGAATAAAAAAAACCCCATTGACTCGATTGGGATCGCATAGTGAATGCCCACGTCTACGGGGTGGGCTTCCGAATTAAATTGTGAATTGTGATTGTCATGTGATGCATCTTGACCCACCACATTGGCGAGGTTTGGCTTGTGCGATTTTTAGATCACTTAACCTGAAGCAAATGCATATTTTAGGAAGTCCACATTGCTATAGAGTAGATTAGAAAGCAGCCTTTTATACTTTAAATGAGCTTTATGGTGAATAGTTCAAAACAATGTTTTGTGGGCGGGATTTTGGTGGATGCAACCACATCTAATGAAATTCTGCGTTGTTCAGGAGTCGTGTGAGTGTCCCATAACTCTGGAGATAAGTTGGAGGTGTGTTCTGATTGGTTGGTTGCTTCTTTTGGATTATTGACTTCAGGTGTGATTGGCTGTGTCTCTTCTGAACACACAGAATCCTTTACAAGTAGATCACCTGGTAAATTGTGTGAGGCCACGTGTATAAGTGTTTTTGCGACCGGCATGCAAAAAGTGCTGACAAACACATGCCAATCTGAGAGGTTGGCACATACTGTAATCAAATAAATATATTAGGGATCGGTAAATGTCAGAGGTCATCTGAAGATGTTTTCTACATTTTTTCGCAGAAAGGAAATGGTATAAAGACTATTAAAGGCACCAGGAGACAGTGTATACAGTTGCATGACAAAGTGCTGCTACCATCGTTTATCAAGTTTAATTCTACATAAAAATTAAACTGTTACTGATTAATTTGGATGATTACTTTGCGGCATTTAATACAATTTTCATAATTATTAGGGTTGAGGTCAACGTAAGAGAAAAAGTCTCAGTTTCACCATGAAAAGTGTTTCCACGATGAGCAACAGGAGCAGTTTCTTCATGAACATAACCTTGAGGAGGGATCAGCAGCAGACAGTAGGGGCACAGTTACAAGAACACTGACTGCACTAGATGTTTACTGTTATATTGAGGCCCTGGAGAGAGAAGGGTACAACATTTATTTGTAAGAAAGTTGCATATATTAGCCATCCAGAGCAATGCAAAAACAACCCCAAAACACTATAACAGTATAGTCAGGAGTGAAGAGTTAAATTCTAAAATAACATGGTTTCAAAAATACTAGGCTTGGTCGGAACTTTCATAAAAGAAATTGATTTTGGTTCTACGGAGTTGTGTATCAAACTGTAAGAAAAACAAACTTTAGCCAAAAGAAATCTGCTATCAAATGGATTAGTGAAAAATGGATAAAATATTGCTTTGGCAAATTCGTGATGTTTAACAAATACTGCTACTTTTGTGGCGCAATTGGTTAGTGTGTTCGATCGTTAACCGAAAGGTTGTTGGTCCACAGCCAACCAGGGGTTGAACCATGGCATCTACACACCGATACAATTTTTAGTTCCATAGTTTTGAGCACCTCGATCAAAAACGGGGCATCTGTCCAAACTTGTGGTGCCAACGTAAAAATATTCCTTTCTGTTTTTCCATGTGGCGTGAAGTGAATCTGTTGTAACGGAAATGCCATCTTCAGGCAGGGAGCATCATTGCATCAATATTTCCTCGACCCAGACAAAAAGCCCCCTGCTGCGAAGCCATCTGAAGATTTGTGCAACTCTCAATTCAAATTGATTAATATAGACCATTCAACTCACACAAAAAAAAACATTCCCCCTCCTTCAACCAACATCTAACTAAAAGGGGGAATAACAGACCATAACTCAAACCTTCGTATTCGCCAACCCATGCTCCACGTGAAGACAGGTCCAGGTAGGGAACTCATAAAAAAGAATATTATTCGAAGGGAAGGTAAACCACCTAAAGCTATAAATATAATATATAATACAACATTAATTGACCATTGTAACAAATATATAAAAATATATTTAGTTTTTTTTTACTATTAATAATGAATAAATGAATTTAATTATTTAGGATTTTTTTTTTTATAAATGATGAAATCTGGCGTTATGCCAAAGATATATATTTGAAGGATGGTGATAATTTGATTAAAAAAGCAACAGTAATGTTTAAGTATGAATCTTACAGATGCTCATGGTCACCCATCTCGCCATCACACACACTCACAGCTGGAGCTCTCAGTAAACACGGCATTATTGGTGCAAATGGAGCTCACATTCAGGCAGCCTGTTATTGTGAGAGCTTTTCAAAAGCCTCTGCAATCACAGAACAATGCAGAGCTCTCAGTAAAAGAGCAAGCGTTTATTCGTCCTTTTATGGAGAAATATTGGCTTTTAAAAAAGTGGACAAGGTCTTTATGGATAAACAAGATAAATAAGGCATGGCGGCAGTTTTCTGAAAATAAAATATTCACAGTTGGAAAGAAAACATCTGCTTTCAATGTGTTCCTGGTTCACAACTAACTTCAATCAAAAACAATACATTTTACTTGAAATCACAGTGTAAGAATCAACCTGAAAGAAACAATCTAATAAATGTTTTTGTGATGAAATCAGATTCACGAGACTAACATGCAGGTTTCTGATCTTTGTAATAAACAGTCAACGAATAGGAAACTGAATAAATAATGAAAATGACTTGAAAATTCTGCCATACATGGAAACAAACTACTTTATATTGAACAATATTTATTTAGTCTCTGTAGAGAAAACAACTCAGAACATCGTTTGGTCCAAACACCTTTAAATTGCAATGGCAACGGTGTAAATGAAACATTTAAAAACTAATTTGCCAGGGGTCAAAGGTATGCTTTTCGTCTATATTTTATAGGCAGACCCTCTGTGAAAATGACAAGAAAAACAAGATGATATTTGAGCGAGAGCCACTTCTGATTATGTGATAGAAATGTGCTATAGTATTGCATGAAATTGTATTCCAATAAAAACTTTTGACATTTAGTGCGAGGAACCAGATTTTTATTTATTTATTTTTTTTAGTCCCAAGTGGTTCCAAAAAATGATACATTTGAGAATTAAAGAATAAATTGAATAAACTAGTTTTCAAATCAATCATGTTTATTGAAAACATCTTGCAGACTCTGGTACAAACCCAAAAGGCAGATTCAATTATAACCTATGGCCAAAGAAAGTAGCTTTATCTTCAAATGCTCGCAAATGCTCCAAACAGATGAGCTAAAACATGAACTCGACTTCACACAATAGCAAGCAAACTGGAAGGCAAATGTTTTTTTGTGTTCTTTTATTAAAGTTAATTTCTTAGCGGATCCAACAGGAGAATACTGGAAGAGTTCGGTTGAATGTTTATGTATTCATTCATTATAATATGCGCTTCTTTGTTTTCAGGGCGCAGGGTTCTACTGGTGCACTTTGGGGCGAAAGGCGGGGGCAGGGCCACTATTGGTTAAATGGCTGTCTAAAAGCAGAAATTTTTCATGGTGCCCTCCAAAATGTGCTCAACACACAATTTCACAGCACCCCCCCCCAACAAAAAATACATTTAGTGTAGAATAATAATATAACAATTAAAATGCTAGAATATCTTACAGTAGCATTTTAGACAATGAGACTTACTTTAATAATAACGACTTTTTGAATGCATCAATAAGAGAAAAGGAGAAGTGGTGCCCAACAAACATTTTTTTTTCTCAACTAAATGCATTTCCCCAAAAACCCAAGTTCTGGATAGAATAACTCTAATGTGCTAAAGTAAAATATTCCAAATTTTTGATTCTGACAAAACCCCCGACCTTCTCACTGAAAGGACACAGTGCATACCTTGCTAGTAATGTATTGGGGTGGTTATAAGGAAATTGTAGAGGGGGGTTAGATCAGTTATGAAAGCTAATATTGATAGATTCAGTAGAATTCACAAATGTTGCTTTTACTTTTGGAACATGTCTGTAAGGGCCTGCTTTAACTCTTGGAATACTGCTGGTTTTCCACGTGGCACACAATAGGAATCGAATAGTCCTGCAGTTAATTGGTTAAATCCAGAAGTGAGGAGGTCTCCATTAACTGGCATGTTAAAATTCTTTACAACTAAAGAAACATGCATGAATTAGTTTTAGTGTTTTGTTAAGTTACATTACCCCTCACATTTTGCTAAGTGAAGGGCGTGGCTTCTTGAAAGACAGCCATTGATATGTTGAATACATCTTGAGTACATTTGTGTTTAATGAACAGTCCAAGAACTATCCTGCAGGACGCCATATACTCTTTTAGATCCATGCACACTGATTAGCGGTCCATTCTCCAGCCTTATTGCGCAGACCCAAAGCCCCATGCCAGCCATTCTCTCCAAACAAGCGCTGATCACACAAGCAAATAAAAAGACCCGGAGGAGACTCATTTAGAGCCTCTTCAGCAAACCAGGGCAATTTCTCACAGCCACAAGCTACTGCTTCCTCAATCATTGTCACAAAGATACACTGATCACAGAAACACTGAGAGATGGAAAGCAGAATGCTGAAGAAGAGGGAAAACGAGCGAAGTAGAGCGTGGATGAAAAATGATCTAGCACGTCTCTTACAGCGTAGCGTTTAGCTCATGAATCACACGAAAGACAAGGGGTGCAACCAGAGTGGTAGCATGTGAGCGACCATGATCACTGAGAAGAACTTCCTCTTGTTTTTAGAGAACTTGAACTTCATTCCAAGACTTTCAATGATTATATGTATATATCTATGGGATGTGTCACATACTGAAAGTGTATAAAACAATATTGTCTCTCATTTTAGGAAAAAGCACAGCACACTTTTGAAACTAACAGATGTTTTCATTTTACATCGATAAAGTCCTGCAATCTCTCCCAGTCTCTTATATTGTGGATCTTGATTTTTGGAAACAACACGCTGCTTGCTTTTGAGCAAATCAATCTTGGCCACTATGCAAATGCTGTATCATTCAGTAATTGATTTTATTCCTGGCATGCATTATCTGGTCGGGATGAGGATTGCACACCCTGCAGGAAAGCCATTACTTTTAATAAGAGAATAGAACTTGCTTCGTTTTTAAACCGAAAATTCTAAACTTGAGCAATATAAGCTATTTTATTGAAGTAGTTTTTTTTTTTCCCCCTGGACAATAGTATTGCTTTGATGCACCACTCACAAATGACTTCAGATTTTACAATTATACAAAATAAAATATTCTATTTTTGAGCATTAACCCAATAGTAATCTTTACTAAAACTGGCAGAACTGACCACTAGTTTAGTGTAAGACTTGTATGTTATGGAAATGTTTAGCCAGGCGTCAACAGTCACTTCAGGGGCTTCGGGGAGTGATCTCCCATAGAAAGACAATGCTGCAATTTAGATTTTTATTACATCAAAAATGCATCTTTTTTTCATCAATGTAAATTGCCAGTAATGTCCGGCTAAGTTAATTAATTAATCAAGAAAAATATTTTTGTCAGGAGTCAATCTACAGCTCTGTAACGCAACATTGAGATGAAGCCCGTGTAAACAAATATTTAGCAGGACCGACCTTTTCACTTGAATATCCCAAAACTTCACCATTCCATCTTGAAGGAACTTCTTTTGTATTTGACATGGTGTGTAAATGTGCTTCCTGCCCCTTCTCATTTTTCAGACCTACGGGTCGCACACCCTGACTCTCCATGATAGCTCCTAGTCTTCTTGGATCTCTGCTTCTGCTCGGTGTAACTTTTGGGTGTTAAACAGCTCTCCACCTGCACCGTCGATTTACTCTTCTACTCTTTTACTACTATTACTCTGCTACCTCACCTCCACTTCAGTAATCACCTTCAACGTCTTTGACTTGAAGGGAACAGTACTTGAAGGGAGTACTGTTCCCCTTAAGGGATGTGATCATTCGACCTTCCTTCATTTCTATCTATAAATACACCATTGTAGATGGTCCCGATAGGGAATCCAAGTGGGATGCAAAAACTGGCCGAGAGCTTTCCGTGCAATGTTTCTCGAAAGTTTTCGCGAATCCTCTGTTGTGGATTACTGAGATGACAGACCAGCTTGATGGAAGAAACAACGCATCTGCCATCAGGGCAGTGTGGGATAAGAAATGGTTGTGAAATAGGAAAAAAATGTAATTTACAGCCCTGTGATGGACTGGCTAGTTGTCCAGGGTGCACCCCTTCCTCTCGCCAGAAGTGCTCTAAAGGTCCCAGTGACCCTGAAAGGGAACAAGTGGGCATTGAATGAATGAACTTAATTAATACTTGTGATTGAACAAATGTTTTGCTGGTCATGTGACTTGTGATTGGGATGTATGCTGAGTATTTAATATAAAATGATTGCCAACTCCAGCGTTCCCACCAGACCCATTATAACTTGCTGACAAACCAAAATGCTAACACCACCCAAAAAAAAGTCTTTTGAATGTACCTGATTGTCGTGTGCATCAGTTCCACCTGATCAGAAGGTGGAATTTTGATCATTTGGAACA